AACATGTCAGCACTTGGCCGAGATTTAAAAGTTGGAAAGATGAGGTATTGCTGAGCGTTGGAAAGGTAAAAAATTGCAAAGGTTTTACAGGAATATTAATGTACGTTCCAAAATGGATGGGAACGAGGGTATCGAAGGGTTGGATGGTGGTACTTGCTGTGAGTGCAGGTGCTAGTGGGGCCTACTACAATTACTTGTATGTTTTTTCTTTTTTTAATCGGAATATAGTTTTTCCATCTAAAACTGTGAGTATCAAGATATTGAAATGTTTATGCTGTTTGCACTGAAAAATTTTGTTTTAGCAAAAAAGTTTATTGCAAATGTATGAGTTGTGTAAAGATGTCCTAACAAAGATGTTTTATTTTTACGTTGTTATTACATATATGATAGCATTTCAAACATTATGCAGAGAAAGTTTGAACAGTTTTTCTCTCCCATAATTATTTTGTGAGCAAAAAATAAATGTTAATAGATTGATATAAATATGTTCCTCAACAGTGCATGTTGCTGAATGATTTGCATTGTTCCAGTTAAGGTTACAGCTACTTCCAACATTTTCCAATTAAAATGCTTTAAATGTTAATTTGCTTGATTTCAGTTACGGTAAACCACACGATAATTATAAATTGGAGCATGATTTGGTGAATAAAACATACATCGTTGTGGGTGCCTCTTCAGGTATTGGCAAAGAAACAGCCAAAGAATTGGCAATGCGGAAAGCAAAAGTAATTATGGCTTGTAGGTGGGGTCATATATCATTATTAAGATAACTGTAAAATAAAATTGCTAGTTTAGCACAATGTTTGCAAGAATCTTTGAAATTAAGAATAGAAAAACTTTTGTTTTTTTTAGCTGTTTTGCGAACAAATTTTTGGACTGCAACAAGGCATACTAATTTAACATTTTGACGTTGAAGTCATCATTAATATTCAAAGGTTGTGATTGGTCTACAAATGCAGAGATAAAGATATCAAGTGACATAACTACTCCTACTTCAAATTAAGCAACTTTACAGGAATAATCGTAAATGTATTGAAGCTCGCCGAAACTTAGTAATAGCAACAAAAAATATGGAGATTTATTGTAGACGCTTAAATTTGGAGGACTTTGACTCAGTGCGAGAGTTTGCTCTCAAACTTAACACAGGTAAGATTAGCTAATTAAAAAGTTATTCCTTGTAGCATTACTTTTTTTTGGCCTAGAAATGGAAATTCCGGAATTTTATTTTAAAAAAATAGATTTTTCTATACATTCCATAAATTATAGAAACATTTTAAAAGAACAAGAAAGTTTTCTAGTCATTGAAGTTTTTATTAAATAGAAATATGTTTCAAATCTAAAGCCTTAGATTTGAAAAACTGATGCACATCAATATCTTCCTGCAAAATGATTTAGTTTTATAGGTAAAGGAAATGTAGGACAAATTGACGGTATAGTTTACAGTGCAGCTACCGCAGAATCTAGTCGGCAAACAAATAAGGTTAATGATATCATTATAAAGAAAATTCTTAACATTATGTTTCTGCTGTTTCATTCTTTAAAAGTTTTTATTTTGTTGAGCTTGAATTTTCGAACTTTATTATTTGCACTTAAATTCTTGTCAGCAATTTGAAAATTTTAATCGTTATGTGTTACCATGCTATGTCAAAGGCAATCGATGCATGATTTACGCTTCTTCATTAATTTTCCTTTCTACCATAAAATAAAACTTATTATTTGCACTAATAATAAAATAAAAGAAATAGTTTGACAATTAGCATCACGAACCTTTTCAAAGAGCTGTTTTCATTACCAATACTTTTCATGCTACTGTGTTAGATGCGTTACATTGATTTATTCACGATTTCGATTATTTCAGTACATAACTTTTTTGCAGGATCACATCGAGCGTACATTTGCGACGAATCATTTGGGACCGTTTTTGTTAACTTCATTATTGTATGATCGGCTGAGGAAGCAGTCAAGTCCGGTTCGCCTCGTGTTTCTGAATACTTCAGATCTAAAGCTGTAAATTATCTATTTCATTTTTCAGAATTTGCATTTCATTTGATACTTCGCTGGACATGTCATGTGAAGGATTTCTGCTATCCTCTTTTTTGAGATAGATGCTTATTTTATTTAGCCTAACATTTTTTACAGAGATGAGTTAAATTTTGATGATTTAAATTCGGCAGACTTAATGAAGTGGCTAAAATCTCCTGAGAAAGCCAGAAAGGATGCTTACTATCAGAGTAAACTTGCTTTGGCTCTTTTCGTGAAATCGTTGTCGGAAAAGGTCAAAAGTCAGTTTTTTTCAAGGAGGCTAAATTCACTACAGTCCGTATTTTTTCTAAATTAGAAAGAAATCTATGTGTGTGTTTCCTGATCTTTCGCCTTTTTCTCAAGTGAGAACTGACAAATGATTGTTACATTCCAAAAATGAATATGATAAGCAGAGGATAAAGCAAAGTTAGATGTCACTATTTACTTTTAAACCATTTGGGGTTATTCATTCGTTTCTTTTTTACATGGTGCAGTCCTAAATTGCTTTTGATGCAGATACAAATCTACGAGTTACGATGGTTGATCCAGGTTATACAAGAACTGACTTATTTTATCGCTTAGAAGCAGCCGATAATAGAATATTTTTTATACGGTGGTGTAAGTCTCTTAAAAGGTAATTTTTTGTTTTTGAAAAGGTCTTCTTAGTTATTTGTCCTCTCAAAAGAATGGGAATTTTACAGATGGGTTTATGGACTCGTTGCTGCACAATCGGTTAGCGATGCCGTTCGTCCCGTATTATATGCGCTTGTGGACGAGAAGATGGAGGGCGTGAACGGGACTTTTATGAAGTTAGTTTTGTTAAAAAGTTCCACATACCTGTTCTTTCATATGTTGGCATTCCGTTAAAATTAGGAAGCGTATGTACAGTCATAGACAAACATGTCGACTTCCTGTACCATGAAGCAGTTTTTCGTATTTTCAGAATCTTTTAACGTAAAATAAATTATAGCTCAGTTAGAAGCGAACTACCATGGCATCAGTTAACATCGGATGAGAAAATTCTCAATAAGTTATGGATAACTAGTGCTAAATGGACAGAAACAGGTGTCCATCTGGAACGTCTTCAGCAAGATTTGAAGAAATCGAAATTTCAAGAAAAAGGTGGAGTGCAAGACATGAAAATTAGAACGAGTTGGTTTTCATGGTTTTGACAAGGACTTCTCAATAGTTTTTCTCTCATTAAGTTTGTGAGGGAAGTGTCAATAGAGGTCAAGATGTATAAGGATGATGAATTGAAACGGACAACTGAAATCTATATGATTTGAATGTTCATGGTCTTACTTCATATTTTTTGATAGAATTATGCAAGCATCGTTATTATTTGTTGTTGTTACATTGTCCATTTATGAATAAACATTTCATTAAGTCTTTTTAACACTATTTTTCAGAGGAATCAATCTGTAGTGAAACTCTCAGGTTAAAAGATGAGTGTGATATTTGTTTTTTAATTTTTTAAGTTTTACAAAAAGAAAAAGTCCTACAAAAATAGAGACCAAGAAATCATAAATAAAAAAAAATTATTACAAAGCATAATCTGGCAATTACTTGGTAGAACTATAGTGCCTCTTACTTCCATGTGCATTTAATCATAAAATAACATCAATTGTCACCAGCTTTCTTGTTGCCCATAAATTACCTCATATTTTAGGGTTATGAAATCAATTATAAAGTAAATATTTAAAAGAGGAATTCGATGTTACGCGAGACATATCCTTAACGATCCTTTCTCGATCTTTAGTGTTTAAATATTCCCTCAAGTCTCATCTCCCAAATCCTCCAATAGATGATATTTCGCTCGTCCGATTGTGTTCAGCGATTCATAAAACTTACAAAATTCTTGTACGATAGAAACATATTATGGATCATGCGAGAACGAAAAGAAAGATGTAATGAGGTGATAGCTGATGTTTTATATTTTGCTTAATAAGGGAAGTATTTTTGAAGTCCAACGGGATGTTTTGTAGATTATTATTTTGGTATTGTTAATAGCAAATTAATATTTCGATGAATTACTTAGGAAAAAATCTCAAATAGTTCCGACGTTCGTTAATTAGTTCATTAGAGATGTCACGATGGCGTTCTGTGACCATGATGGACTGGATGAGAGGAAGGGAGCGAGAAGTAGATAGGTCATTAAGTTATTCGGCGTTGTCAAGAGTTAAAGTGCACTCTTACCTTGATCTTGATTTACTGCTAGTATGTATGGTGTATTTGTATGATGTATTTAAGAATGAACAACTGCTATCAGTAATGAACAACATTATTTTTCCTTTTTCACATAACGAGTGAAAGAACGAAGGACTTTAGGCATGTTGTGTTTAGGCCCTTTTGATATCTTAAATTGACTTCACTTAATTCATTTAAAATTAAATTAAAATCTTCATGTCATGTTTAGGACTATAAATTGGATGTTTTTCTAAGCAAACGTTTGACTAGAAATATGAAAGTTTCACTTAATAGGTGAAAACTTAGCTTTATGAAATTCTTTTTGTTGCAAGATCTTATGTATTTAGGGAAATCCTTCGTTAATTTATTGTGAGCCTTGTAGCGATCAATTGTGTTAATTAAAATATATGTGGTCACATTAATATCTCATTATCGTCATTTATTGTGCCAATAGTAATTTCTCTAGCATGAATAAAGATTACTGCAATATTCAAGGAAGTACTGAGATGTAAATAAATGAAGTTTTGTTCATCAGGCAGTTTTATGGATCAATTTCTTGAACTATTAGTATTATAGACTCTCCTCACAATATTTCTGGTAATTTGGAAGCGTGCAAGATTTGTTACTGTTATGTAAAACATGTGTATTGAATTTTCTTCTTAATCGTACTTTTTGCAGATTCTCTTATATTTGCTGTGACATTTAATGCTATAGCAAATTTAGCCGAATTTCATTCTTACAATTTTTAAAGTTCTACAAGTATTTTTTTCCTGTCAACAGAACGCCAATCCATGTTGCGACGTGCCGCTTCTGCGTATAGTCGTGTGCTGGTGAATCAGGTTCCGATTTTCATCTCTTTGTTATCGTTAAATCTGATTTGTAGCTTCAACAGGATAGACAGAAGGACAGTAATGTAAACCATGTAGTTACAGTAGTTTTGCCGACAGCTTTCTTGGTATTATAGTGTATTTCAATCTCTTCTTTATCTTTTGTGGCTTTAGATTTTAATAGTTTTGAATAAATCCATACTAGAGAGAGAAGCCATCATAAAAGCTTTTCGTAAGGATGGCAGTTCTTTATTTCCAAAGAGGGATCATAATTTCAAATTTGTATGTCTATTTTAGATGCAAGAAGTTTTTTGTCATTGTGCTCTTCCACCTTTCAAAAAGCATTCTTTCTCCTTGTTCGTTTTTTCATATTTCACTTCCCACCCAGAAAGGCAAGTGAGATTCTAAGTGTTACTTGAATTATATTTAGCTGAAGAAAACATATAGATACTGTGAAGAAAACCGAAGGAAAACAGCGATATTTTGGTTCATTTGAATGAGTTGCTATTTAATAAGTTAGGCAAAATGCTTGCCCTGTCGGTATCATGGGCTACTGTTGCAGCCGATCCTAGAGCTGCATTGATCAATCAGTCTTGATACTGTTAATGTTACATGCATTTTTTTCAGCCAAATGGTAAAAAGTTATTATTCAACAAGCTACGTATTGCGCAATGCCGAAGATATTTTGCCGTACCACAGTCACTGATTCAACAAAACCGGTTGTTTTATTATTTCGATGTAGTTGGACAATTACATACGAGCCAATTATGCTGTTTGTTTTTTGCAATTTTAGTGAAATCGCATTTATAAATACATTATTAAAGTTAATTGCTGTAAGTAAATCTAATTTCCTGACAACTTATCTTTTGCCGAAAATTCTAATACTTTGATAAATTTTATATTTAAATTAATCATTGAGTTTTAGATGCTGATATCATAGAAGTGGAAGGACCTGCTTTCGCGGAGTCGATCTCTGAAGGGGATATTAGATGGTTGAAACGTTGGTTTCCACATAAAAATCAATTTGTTTCTTTTTTCTATTTCATTTATTCAGTTGAGTTATTTAGATATATTTTGCCATTCATTATTAATAAAGGCTTGCTGTAGAAAAAGGGTGATTATGTAAATAACAGGATGTTATAAATCGTAACTTATACTCTAAATATTTATTGATTTTGAAATAATTTCTAGAATGTGACTGGTTTCAGAAAAGGGTGAATTTGTCAATCGAGATGATTTGGTTGCTGAGATTGAAACTGATAAGGTTAACTCTTCTATTTTTAGTTTGTTTTATCAAAATATAAATATATTATTTTAGTTGAAGAATGACTACTAATATTAAATGTTTTTTTTTAGACAACCGTAGAAGTACCATCCCCACAGTCAGGAACAATAGTCGAACTTTTAGTAGAAGATGGCGGTCGAGTAACAGCACATCAGAAATTGTATAAACTAGAAGTTGGAGGAGGTAAGCCGTGATTTATTCTTAGGGAACTACATTTGCATCCTTTCAAATATCTCTTTTTGTCACTTCACTTTGTTTGGATCAGATCCAACCATGTATCTTTTCGTAAAAGACTGATAATGCTATATATATATATATACTTAAGGTTTTTAAACGTTAAAAATTCATAATTGCCAGCTTATAGAACAGCATTTATAGACCTTTGGCAATTAAAAACAACTGTCTGTAAAAATTGTAAGATGTTTTTTGTAAAACTGTAATGATTACAGAGTAATTGTATTTTCAGAAGCACCTGCTAAGAGTACAAAAGAAGCGAAACAACCAGTGGAGGAGAAAACTCCGTCACCATCAAAGGCTGATTCGGTGCAGACATCACCTTCACCTAGTCCAGGTGAGGAGCTACTTGTACTTTTGAATTCATCTAATTTGAATTTATAGAACTGATCTATTTTAAATTCATAGAACTGCAATGACTCAAGAAGGAATTTTAAGAATAAACGAGTTGTGAAAAATGTACTGTCATATTGATATGTGAGATGTGTTTCAGAAAAGCCAATCACTCCATCTCCAATGAAAATTGCAGCTGCACCTGTTCCATCGTATTCCCAACCTAAGCCAGATTCTCCTATAGAGAAAGTACCATTACTCACTGATCATAGTCCTTTTACTGGTTCAAGAGATGAGACACGCGTGAAAATGAACCGAATGCGTTTAAGAATAGCACAGCGATTGAAAGACGCTCAGAACACTTACGCTATGCTTACTACTTTCAATGAAGTTGACATGAGGTACTGCCTTTTTTAAAAATTTTCGAACAAGTCTTTGTTAGGTAATTTTGGAATGTGTAGTATACTGAAGAATCATATGATTGAGGAAGAAAATTGAGGAAGAAAATTAAGTTTATTTAACTTTGAGAAGTTTCCACCTATGGAGAAAGTTGTAATTATCTTGTAGCAATTACAAACTGTCTGTGTTCAATTAAATTTAGAAAGTTTAAATTGGCAAAAAGATAAACTTTCAGCAATGTACTGGAAATGAGGAAACGCTATCAAAAAGAATTCATCGCAAAATATGGCATTAAAATTGGATTGATGTCGCCATTTATTCGAGCATCGGCTTATGCGTTGCAAGAATTTCCCACCGTTAATGCTGGTGAGTTTCTTATATCTGATGTTCTGAGGGCTCCTGTTGGATTAAGATTCAAATTTTGATCCATCATCTGAATTTTTTGAATCCTGCCATTATTCGTTGCTAGCTATATGATTCATTTCTATCTTTCTGAACTTTTATGGTCTTTTTAATATTGCTACCTTAATTTTCTACCGGGAGAACTTCGGTCTGTTAAGTCGGTCGATAATTATAAAAATTTTGATAAAGTGAATCGGAAAAGATGGGAATTTTGTTTATTTCAGTAATCGATGAAGGCGAGATATTGTATCGGCATTATATTGACGTGTCAGTTGCAGTCGCTACACCGAAAGGTTTGGTAGTGCCCGTACTGCGTAATGTTGAAACAATGAATTATGCAGCCATCGAAAAGACACTGAATGAATATGCAATTAAAGTACTTTCCTGTTTCTATAGTTTTTTGGTATTTTGATATTTATAACCATGACTAGGATTTTTTTTTTCAATATAAAGGCATATCTTTATCCTATTACTTGCAGATACCTAACTTTTTTTTTTTGACTTTATAGAAAATAGAGGGAGAAGCGTACAAAGATTTCGTAAGATTTCTATAGATTTGTCTTATATTAATCAGCTTGAGCTCTGACTGTTTTGAAAATGCCGTACATTCTTTTCTTGCTAAAATGATAAATAAGACGAATGATCAAAAGTATAGAAGGAGAAGTAGGATAGTAGGAGGCAAAACCAAACTGTGGTCTCATAACAAAATTCCTGAAGTTCAGTTTATAAGTAGTTTGCTGAATTCAACGTTTAATTTTATGCTCGGGACGGCAAACTTGCAATCGAAGATATGGAAGGTGGGACGTTCACAATCAGTAATGGTGGTGTTTTTGGTTCAGTGTCTGGAACACCAATCATCAATCCACCACAATCAGCAATTCTGGGGATGCATGGCGTCTTTGACCGACCGGTGGCAGTAGATGGAAAGGTTGAAATCCGTCCTATGATGACTATAGCACTGACGTATGATCATAGGTAAAATTGTTACCTTATTTTCGGAATTTATTCAAGATAATTTTTCAGATAATCTGAAATGGAATATTTCTTGGTTCAGTATAACAACACAATCACCTGCATTAATCATTTCATGTATGATTTACGTATTTCAGGTTAATTGATGGTCGCGAAGCAGTCACTTTTTTACGAAAGATTAAAACTTCAGTTGAAGATCCACGAACCATTTTGCTAAATTTGTAGAAATTTTTTAGGTCAACTTATATATTTTAATTGTTAAAGTCAGGGTGTCTTTTTCAGTTTTAAATGTATGAAATATTTTATCTTAGGTTTGATTAAATTGTATTGTATAATTGGTCATAATATCTATTCCTATTTTTTGCATCAACTGAAAAATTTGAAATTATTTTTGGAGCTAAATGGACTGTAGGCCTTAACTATGAAAAATTTTCAACGTTTTCTCTTCCAAATTTCTGAAGGTATAAGGAATTTTGTTTTTAAGTCTTTAATGATGTTAAAGAATTTACATTTAACACACTTAAATTCTAGCAGCATTAGATAATTACAAGCAATTCATTTATATGCTTGGGAGCAAATAAATCTTGCGGCATATGTAATTTTTACGGCATATTTTAGCTCTTTGCAATTGATTTTTCTGAACTTCTGCTCATTTTAAAAGGATATTTAGTTGCTGGTAACGACTTATTATTTCAGTTTCACACATATCAGAATTAATTTCCTAATTATTAGCGATTTTTAAAATATCTGCAGAATTTCCTTATTATGTTTCAAGAATTTGCTATTCTAAAATTCAGTAATGTGAAGCTGTGATAATAAGTCGTTAATATTAGTGAAGATCATGTGTTCTTTCTCTGTTGATCAATTATTCTCGTGATTACTATGAACTGTTTTCAAAACGGGAGTTTTGTGTTTTACAGAATAGTTAATATCGGCTGCAAAAATCTTGGCGAAGAAACTGCGCCTCACATTCCATTTGTAGATGTGTAAAATTACATTTTTTTTTTCACAGTTTTTTGATAGTCGTGAAAATTTCACGAAAATGATGTACAAATCAGTTGCCGTAATTAAAATAGCATAGAATAAGTGTAAAGCGTGACCGAAGCAAGCTATAATTTTGAACATCTGTTCTTTTTTTGCTACAATCTTGATAAAATAAACTTCAACTGACAGTATTTGTTGTATAGGAAGAATCAGCTGATGGTGCTGGGCTTAAGCTTTAATATATAGTAAAGTTTTCGACGAAATTTCGATCTTCAAGTTATGAGAAGAACATAGAATCTGGCGTAGGCATGGAGCGGTAAGAGTGATACATTCGTTTGTGCTTAACTGTTCTCGAGTTTTTTTTTTTTCAGCATGGAAAAGGTGCTGCAATCGCCTTTGTTTTATAGATTTAATGTCAGTTACGAAAAATTCTCTTTGTCCTTTTGATAAATTATGAGAATTTTATTACCTTTGGAAATTTTAGTTGGGTCAATTAGATGGCTGGTAATGTGAGTCATGTCTCTGGTCCCATACAGTCATTCGTATTTCTGGATGTGGAAGCTAGTGGACTTTTCCCAATCGATGCAATGAATCCACTGGATGATCCACCAATTCCAGGCAGTCAGAGGGACTTGTCACAAATATTACTCAATCATATCAGGCTTAGTTAATTTGTATTTTATTTGTCTCTTTTATTCATATTGCATGTTTATTTGGAATATTTAAATCTTTCAACGTTCACTGAGTTATAACTCATTTAATTTGAGCCATAGATGCTATATAAAACCAAAGCCTAACTAACTTATGTGACCACAGATTTTCTTCTTTTATGGTTTCAGCTAGTTCCAATCAAGCCCCTCATATTATGGAAATCAGCCTTGTTTCGGCTACAAGAAAAGCAATTTTATCTGGGATTCGAAAGATGGATGCAGTGATGAATAATAATGAGGCAGATGATCAAGCATCACTTCGTTCCAGATCCAGTAGTTTCCGAATTCCATGCAACATCTACTCCGCACAGGTTTTCAGTGCTGTACATTCAGTTTAATCGAAAATCAATAATTTCTGAGTTATTTTCTGTAAGTGATATCACGAATTTTTAATGTGTTCGATAAACAATCTCTCTAATTGATCGTTTTCGAAGCGTATTACAGAATAATTAGGGGGTAAATTTGCTTTTTAGTAGATTTAAGGTTAACAATTGTGTTTTAGTTACATTATATCTATGTTGTATTTTGCAGATAAAACCTAAAATGAACCAGAAAGAATGGACAGAGTACGAGAAAGGACGCTTTCTACGTAGCGGTAATTTCAAGCTTTTACACTTTCCTTTTTATCCCTCATTTAGAACATTATTTTACACATATGATATTATCATCCGTCATAAAATTGGTGATACCACTTCTGCCTTCCTTATTCCTAGGCTTCTTTTGTTCCTAGCCTTTCCTTATTTCCAGTCATATTTGTCAAAAGCGAATGTTTTCAGTTTTTGTTTACTCTCGGGAAGACTTGGAAGACAAGAACGATTTTGCCACAGAATGGAAAGGATTGAAACTTTTTTTAGAACAAACGCGGAAGCCAGTTTGTATAATTGCTCACAATGGACTAAGGTTTCTTCTCTCATCTACCTTTCTATTATTATTTCTTAACACATTAGACATGTTTATTGTTTAAATCAGCGACTTTTTAAGGTTTGATTTTCGTATACTATACGCAGAGTTTGAACGAAGTGGTCTTCTGGATATCAATCCTATTCCTAACCAGGTGTCATTTTTTCTTTCTAGCTTTAATGACACCTAAAATATTTAGTTCAGAAATCTGTTTCTGTGTTACTTGCTTTGAATTCCTTTCATACTGACAAAAAATCTGATTTCATTGAATGAGCACTTTGTTTTAGGTTTATTTTGTAGATTCTTATTTGATGTTTCTGGATCTGGAAAAGAAGTTCCATGACGAATTACGGACTGCCATTCAGCTGCTAGATTGGGGCCGTTGTAAGTTATCTAATATTTGACTATTTTGTAATGTTGTTAGTTATAATGAAAATAAGTTGATACGAAGAAAGAATTTACTTTTTAAAATGCCCTTCTTATGTTTTTACAATAATTCATATGGACATTATTTCTAACCAGCAGAATCAGAGAATCACGAAAAAAATTATGCTGGGTATCTAATAATTTTATGTTGCAGTATCACCACAACTAAATAGTGAAAATCCACTGCCATCACCACAGAAAATGTCGTCATGTTCAGTAGATGTAAATTCAAAGACTCATATGGACATTATTTCTAAACCATCAGGATCAGGAACACTCGAAGTAGAGGGCATCTCTGTAAGCGCACTGAAGACTGACAGTTCGACTGTTAGCTGGAAATCACAAGATACCACCACATTTGTTGTTCCGGTTGAATGTTCAACTAGAAGCGGACCGAAAAGGTCTATTGAATTAATTTCACTTATCAAAAATTGTGATTGTCTTTTCTAGTATGGCATATTTTATTAAAAGTAAATCTGTTTAATTTTCTTGTCGTAGAATTAGGATTTATATATTATATGTGATTACTTCTCTATTAGTATGTTTATATACAGACCTGCTAGAAGGCAGCTTTTTATCCATACATCAGATGACCATCCATTAAACTTTATCCGTGCGACGAAATGGTCACCAGCTAAGAAGAAACGTATTCTACCGAATCTTTTCAAGTAAGTTATTTCTGTTATCCGGGAAATTTTAGACTGTGATTCACAGATCTTGTAAACTTTTAGTTGCTAATTTGCTAATTTGCGAAGATTTTTCAAATTAAAATCCTTGTTGTACTCATATCAGAATTGCTGTTTTTGTTTAGCTTGAATTGATTTATTTTTAGACGTTCGAATGAAGGTGACTGGTTATTCAATAATCATTTTTCGATTGCATATTTTCGTGAAAAAGGCGCTTTCAAATTGGATTCCATGTATAAACAGGTTATCATTAAAGTCTTTTGCCTGTAATTCTTTACAAAAAAACTTTAAGAAACAGTGCTTTGATATGTGATAAAATTTATACATCATGTATGATTACTTTTCCGGTCCAAACTTCTTTATTTATTTTATGAACCAGTTGGTTTATCGTAGGTACAATGCCTTACCCTAATCTTATAATGCATGATATGATCATTGTTTGTTTTAAACTTTTAAGCTTCTATGAATGCTTTTAGCTATTACCACTCACAATTGTGAAATGGATTCAGATTGATTGTGAGATGATTTTTAATGAAAAAAAAAACAGTTTCAGTTATATTACTTTGAATTTAATTGAAAATCCAATCTTCATGTTCTTTCCAGTTGTTAAGTGGCGATTATGATGCCCATTATGCTAGAGATGATTGTGAAGCTTTGCTGAAAATTTGCATAGCATATGGAGAAGAATTTGTGGAATATGTGGACACGCATGCTGTTAAATTTCCATTTTAGAAAGGAGCATAAATAATATATCAAAAGCTATCCATATCTTGTTTATCAAATCAAATTCTTCTTTAAAACTTTGCATAGCACAGAGTATTTTTTCTTGTTTAATCTAAAAACACTTGAATTGCAATTGAAGAGCTGGGAAAAGAGTGTAATCATAATAGATTCGATGGGAATTTTTCCTATTACCTATGTTTTAGTTATCTTTTTCAATTTATCGCAGCCTTATTTATCTACGTATTCAAAATGTCCGATATGCATTACTGACTGTTTTTGCTTGTTTAAGTATGTTTGAATTCATTTGAAGACTGCATATATATATTAGTAACTGCTTTGACTAATCTGTGATTAATGCGAGATTTGAATCTTGTATGTATTGTATTACACTGATGACCATTTCAATTTCTTTTATAACTTTTCATTTCTTAAAGGAAACTACATTTTTTGTGAAAATTTCCATGAAAATTGCTTCCAAGGCGAATCGTTCTATGTCTGTTTACAAGTAACATAAGCACTGTATTTGCGTTATTTTTTTTTCCCATAAATCATGTTGTACATTTTTGCAAATTTCTTTTCAATTCCTTATTTTCATGATTTCTTTTAGTGATTGGTAGCTGCACTTCTCTGAACCTACTCACTGATTTCACTTTTTTTTTTATGCTTATATTTAATTGTCTATGTGTAATCAAATCTAAACAAAACATTTTTCCGTTTTTCAAGGCTGATGCTTCTAAAGATAACAAACCAAAAGAAATGTATTAACCTATGAAATACACTATTGTATTATAATACG